AGTAATAATAATTATAATAGCAATAATTATAACAATAACAATAATGTCAGTAATGTCGTTTAATAGTAAAATAACAGGGACTTTCCATGGTGCCTAATCCCAAGCAGGCAGTAAGCACTGTACAATGCAGAGTCATTAGTCAGCTCAACTGATCAATCAACGGACGGAATATAAACCTCGTAAGACCATTTAACAACATACACTCTCTCACACACACACACACACACACACACACATGCATACACACACACACACACAAACGCACGCACACACACACATATGCATAAACGCACACACACACACACTCACATACACACACACACACACACCCATAAAAACACATACACTCACACACATAAACACACACACACACACAAACATACACACACTTACACGCACAAACACACTAGCCACACACACACAACGAAAACATCCATAACGCATTTATTCATTCAGTCACACATTCGCTGCAACCATAAAAAAACTTTGCCACAACCGTAAAAACAGGTTTAAAATGTACACAGTGACAGACTGACAAACGCAACCAGTGAACAAATGTGAGGCATCGTGGTGAAATCAGGCGCTCGGGAAAATAATGAAATTGAAAAACTTTACTTTACTTTACTTTTACTTTTCCGATCCAGCGTCCATTTGAGTTCTAGCCCTTCGGCCGGTACATGAAATTGAAGAAAAAGGCAGTTTTCCGCCAGTCTGGCAATTTGTATCAAAATTGTTGTTTTTTGGCTTAACACCCTTAACGTCCATATAGAAACACATTTCCATGTGAATTTTGCTTTAAAAAAAAAAGTTTATTAAAAGGCACAAAATATGTAATTATTCAGTTTTCAAGGACTCTTGAGCTACTGAATTTACCATCAAACTTTGGCGGCCATTTTATCGCTAATTTTACCTCTGAAACAAGACGACCCTCACCTTCTTTAATCCCAAATATCTCATTTTCTATTCAAGAAAGACGGCTATTTTTTTCCATCGAAAGCAAGACAAATGAACCAGCTTTCCGATGAATCCAATAACTTGATACGTGAGTCGTGCTGACAAAATGCGTCACTTCTCGCGATCCAAGAAGGGAGATATCCGCCGAAAAATCAACACCGAGGTCAGATTTATAGATTTTCAGTTGATGCCATCTTGTTCAAGTCTACCGTGTCTTTTATTTTTCCATACTTACAAACTGTACAAACTCATCCTATAAAGTTGATGTAATAATTTCCATATATACGAAAGCGACAGGCAAATTTCATTGGATACACAATGCGGAAAAAAGCATTGGAGAATATTGTAACAACATGCAAGTTTGATGGAAAGAGAGGAAGAGGCAGACAGAGGGAAAAGATACTGGACAAGTTGACAACATGGCTGGGAACAGCAAGAACGACAGACACCATCGCTGCAACGCAAGACAGAGTGAAGTGGAGGTCCATGATCGCCCACGCCAGTCGACAAGGCACCGGATGATGATGATGATTAATTTCCATACGCATAAAATCCGAAAGAAGGAACTCATTTTGTCAGCACAACTCAAATAGATCTATGCCCAAAAATTGACAAGCGTCTGATTTCATGCAACGTGACATAAATGTGTCACTGATTCACAATGTTCAGTTCATGGTTCACAACTTTGGTTCACTGATTCACATCTTTCGGTTCACTGGTTCACAACGTCTGAGTCACTGGTTCATCACTTTGGTTCACGGCTTTGGTTCACTGGTTCATGATGCTCAGTTCCTCCTGCTCCCGGTTACTGGACATGGCCCGCACCAGAGTGGACAGGAAGCGGTTGAACTCTTTCCGAACCGAGTCGTGGTCTTCCTCCAGGTTCGTGTGAACCACAGGGATCTTGCCGAAGTTGTTGGCTGGGGACGGACGGAGGGAGGGGAGAGGGGGGAGGAGGTGGTATTTAGCTTTTAGTTTTAGTAAGAGTTTTACGGCATTTGCAACAAAAGATTATATGGTCCTTTTTAAACACAAGGGAGCTATCCCGAAAAATGCCGTTTTGAGAAAATCGAAGGTAAAGTTTTTGCCCCTTGTTCAGTTTATTTAGAAGACAAGAAGAGTTTTCTCTATAACCAAACAAATATACACACCAATGAAACCAAACTTCTCTTATAGGTAGGGAAATGCCCACTTTTGGCGAAG